GGGGAAAATCAGAAAATAAGAGTCATGAAATTCTGCATGTATTTTCACCTTCTAAATGCAAAACTCTGCTCCAAACAAATACTACAAATACTCAGGTGAGCAGGCAGTTGCCAATCTTAGCATGATCCCAACCAATTTTAACATGAATTTTCTTGAACGATGGAGTATTTTTACTTTTGGGGTTTCAAAGATGAAAGGGTCTTTGCAAAAGTTCCACAATGTAACATATTGTAGTTTGGGATTTATGCTTTTGGCTCTGTCAAGCATTAAGGCTTGGATGGCAAATGGAAATCAACTTTTGAGATGCAAGCTAACGTTTGCTGCAAATCATCTGATTTCTCAGCCAGCAGCAGAGCATTGTCTGCATATAAAAGTACATATAGATTCATACCCCCAGCCAATATACCTTTTCAATCCAAGCATTCCTGTTATATTTATCTGTAAATAACTTTAGACAATCAAAGAGACACTATACAGCTTGTCTCTGCATAGTGTTAAATAATTTGCTAAACATGTAATTTATTCTCATGCATGCTTTACTTCTGTCATACACTGTTCTTATTACACTCAGCAACCAACCATGACATCCTATGGATAGAAAGCATTTCTTAATTCAAACTGTTCATTTTCTTGTGTTTTCTCTAATCAGTGATCATATGATAAAGCATCTTTCTTATTCCTTCATTTTTAATGACTTGGTAAAGAATAAAAACATGATCTCCACATCCTTTATTTGGTATAAAAAAACATATTACACATCCCAGATCTGGCTTAATGTTCCCTTTTATACCGTTTCAATTAAATTTTGAATGCTCCTTATTTCATTGAAATGTTGGTTCAAATAGCCATGGAAGAATGTGGTTTCTGAAATTTGGATGGCATTCCCAGACATCTTCAGGGTGTGTCAACAGTATCAGGATAATGAGATGCAACCAGATCAATTGAAGCCCTGTCCATTTTTACATCATTGCGATGCATATAAGGCACATTAATGGTTGGATTTGATGGTCCACTGCCCCCACTATTTTGATGAATGAATGCATGACAAAACTACAGGTAGTCCTTGACTTATTACCACAATTGAGTCCAAAATTTCTGCTGATAAATGAGACATTTGCTAAGTGAATTTCCCCCCATTTAACGAATGTTCTTGCCACAGTTATTAAGTGAATCACTGCAGTTGTTAAATTAGTAACACAGTTGTTAAGTGAATCTGGCTTCCCCATTGACTTTGCTTGTCAGAAGGTCACAAAAAGGAATTACATGATCCCAGGACACTGCGACCATCATATATATGAGTCAGTTGCCAAGAGTCTGAATTTTGATCACATGCTGTCATGGTCATAAGTATGAAAAACTGTCATAAGTCCCTTTTTTCGGTGGTAACTTCGAACGGTCACTAAATGAACTGTTGTAAGTTGAGAACTACCTCTATTTCTTTTTTTTTCATTCCTCTAATATTACAGTGCCAAAGAAAGTGGAGGAAAAAGTGACAAAGCTTAAGGGAAGTTTGTGCTACAGGCATATCTTTAAAAACAATATGAATTGGTCTAGAACAGAGGTCCCCAACCCCCGGGCCACAGCC